TTGAAAAACCTTACAAGTTGAACCTTCCTCCAACCAAATGTCACTCAATCCTTGTAATCTTAAAAGAATTGATGCCAAATCCCCAGAAGTCTTTCGTTTTATGCTCCCTAAAAACTCCGAAGCACTCAAATCAGCTTCTTTCAAGGCAATAGATGCCATTTCCCTCTGAGCAGCAGCGATCTTTTTGTGCTCCTCTAAATTTCCCTTTTCTTCCTCAAGATCTTTTACAGAGGACCGCAAAGCTTCCAATTTAGATCGATGTTTAGAAAGCTCTCTTTCAGACTCCACTATCTCCGACTCAAGTCCTCTTTTCGCAATATTTGAAATACTACGTTTCTTAACCATCCCAGCAAGATCAAGCAAACTCTCCCATTCTGAGGAATCCAGCTCCCGAAGAATTCCCGATCTCTCTCTCAAATGTAAAGGAATCAGAGATTCATTCACATCATTCTGGAAAGGCTCCATGACGACGTCCTCATTCTCTGAAAATTATTACAAAACATAAAAAATATCCTTTAGGAAAACCGTCTCATTTTATCAACTCTCAAACTCTAAAATCTTACCGTTAACACTCCGAGGAGAATTTGAGTCATCTATCATTAACGGTCCCTGAGACCCGGAATCATTGGAATTCAAATCTAAAATTTAAAATCAAGATCTCAAAACACGTCTTCAAGACAATAGAAATAAGCACTCACCTTGGCCATTGGAATCCATATCAAAGCCTTCAGTACCTCTCAATCAGAATACTAGCAGAGATTTACCTAGATCAAAACTGAACTGATTCTCTTCTTCAAATCCGTTGAACGACAAAAAGAAGCTCACGCAACCAACTTTGACGAACCTAAAAACCAAACGGAATCAATCTATATGTGGCCAAGCTATTCAATCAAAACCAAAACGTGAAATCCAACCTAATCAACTCTATCAATCAAGTGCGGAAACAACCAACAAAAAAGCATGCTAATCAAATCTCCCAAGTGTGGGATCCAATCTATCGCAAACCAATTCATCAAAATGCCAGTTTGAACTTCACAAACCTACGAGCCTGATCAGCTCTTAAATTTACAAGTAATCTAGCCAATAGGCCTTCTTTTTCAAATCTTTCACAATACCTAAAAATACTCTAACCACTGCTAAAAGAGATTTCAGCCAATCTTCCAAACCTCCGACTTGCAAGATGGACACGGACAGACTGAAGACCCTTCAAAATGTCGGAACAGCAGTCAAGACGACCCCTGTTGGTGACGTCACGACCAAACAGCTGCATCAAAGTCGACACTGATTTTTTGCGAGAGCACTCTTATTGCCTTGTTCCGCCAGCACTTTATTGCCTTGTTCCTCTATTACTTTATTGTCCTGTTCCTCTTGAAAAGCCGTTTTTCTTGCTCTTTTCCCCTCCCCATTAGTACTTCAGTAAATATAAAAGACTAAAAACAGTAAATCAGCATAAAGGTCGCGACTTCCTTCTGTTTCTTCGATCCGACAAAACTCGAATCTCTGAAACAGAAGGGGGGGGTTTTGTCGCAAATTTTTTAGTCCTATTTTTAGAAATCAAGTTTGAGAACCCAAATTCTCGTCCTTGAGGACAAATTCCACTTTCCGTGAGAACCTAGGAAAACCTTGGTTCTCACGCAACTTACGGAAGCCTCCAAGGCTGCCTTTCTCTGCTAATCCTATTTATGAAATCTCGTCCTTGTAGGACAGTTTTCCTGTTTCCAAATATCATAACAATCCACACAGTCCAGTCTCTGCTTTTGAGTGTGCGGTTACTCCGAGATTTCGCGAGCAAATTTCATCGAGTGTTGTTCAAATCCTACAAATATATCAACTTTATAATAGGGTGTTCTCACCCCGGTCGCAGCCCAACCAAATTCTTGAGTTTCATTTCAAAACATCCATCCTAAAACTTCACCTCCAAAAGTTCTACAACTAAATCCTTTATTTGTTGGGTTTATTCCTGACAGTAAAACCTTACACCAATTATTTTCGGAGATTAGCGACAGTTTTTTTTGAAGTTATGTATAAGAGTGAGAGCCTGAGATGCGGACATAATTGCTGCATCAACAGTGTCCTTAAGTCAAAATGCCCCTTAGTTGAGTCTCATTTTCCCTTAGACTTACATCATATAATTTTTAATTGGTGTTTTATGGACAAAATACTCACCATAATTCCATGAAAATAAAAATTTTCTCCCAATTGAAATTGATTCAATCAATATATTTCAACATGATATGGACATTTGGGGAATTGAATACTGATACCTCTGTACAATACATAGAAATATTGGCATTCTCTTTAAAAATAATCATTAGTGAAAAAGAGAAGGAAGTCCCTCTATGTTGGAGGTAATTTTTTTTAATTTGCTGAATGGATGGTAAATTGGTGAGAGAAATTCCCAAGACTTCTCTTACATCAATTTTAGGGTTGGAAATATCTGTTTCTTGTAATTTGACCTGAAACGTATTTGCAATTTTGTCACAAAATTTCTCAATGTTGAGTCAGTGTCCTCCTGTTGGGTCTTTTTTATTAATTTTCATGGGAAAATAAGTGTCCATATGTCAAATTGTCCGCATGTCAAGGTCACAAGGTGTCTGCATGTGGGGGTCTCACTGTATTCATGACGTCGTCTGCTGTTCCAATTTGTGCTCAGTCACGTTTACATTGAAGAAAATAACATGGAAGTTTGAAGCACACTTCGTTACTAAGTGGAGCTGTTTTCTCTATCGAAAGTTAGGGGTTGGTCGAATAAGTTCCGTTCCGTGAAATAAAAAAGACAATGTTAAAATCATTCCGGCGTCATCCTGTTGTTTACAATTTGTCTGTAAATTTTCTGTCATCACAATTCTGAGCGTATTTTGAAGTGGATGCGAGGATCGCCTCGAAAGGCTGCTTGAAGATTAAAGCAAAAATAAGTTGTGAAAGTCAGAAATTCAATTTAAGAATATGCGTATAGCGAATGAATAAGAATGGTTTTATTCTACTCTTGGCGTTCTGGAATAATAATGAAGTGATTGAGGATGTTGTTTTACGTGTTTCAAGTGCCCAAAGAACTTATTAACGGGGTAAATTCGTATCCCTGTTTTGAATAATTGAAATTTGTAATGTAAAAAAAATTAGAGAATAGTACAATGTATTGAACAGCACCCGAAAAAAGAGGTTGGCGGATGGCTTTTGAACTTGTAATTATACGAAAGAAAATACAGTATGTTTTCTGAACCAAAGACGTCCGCTGTCGATCAAGTTATTCCAAATTAGTGAAAGAACTTATTTACCAACCACTTGAACTATGAACTTTCAAGAAATGATCGGCAAATTCCGATGATACATTTTTTTGTTTTCTCACGGCCCAGCCCTTATCCGTGGGGAAATGTGTCCTTCACAAATTTGTTTTCCGCACAAATAAATATTATTCTTATTTCAAGAGAATTAACTTCTTCGAAAAAAAGACCTCACGTCTTGATTTCCGAAAACCTTCGAAAATTTGGTTCGTTATATTCCTTTTTTCAGCAAATGTAACCAGCAGGAGTGCAATTGAATTTTCACAAGAAGTCATCTTTTTTCAATAAAACCCAATATGTAGATACATTAATTTCAGATTGGGATTCCCTCCGATCGAAGCAGTTCAAGACCTGAGCGAAAATGAAAATACGTGGATTTTCTTCATAAGTGAATTTTTTTTCTATTACTTTTCGACTGAGAAGGGAAAAATGCATAATAATCATCTTTCTTTTATCGAAAGCGTTTTCTCGACACTGTGCTGCTAGTTCATGAATGGTTTAACACGATTTACACATTATTTTTTGTAAAGTGAGGTAATTGTCTCAAGTTGTGTTTATAAGTTAACAAGTTGTTGCTAATAGGCGCCACAGGGTTTTTTGAAAACTCATTGCAGAACGTTATTATTAAATTTAAAAAAGGACGCAAGTTTAAGAAAGTTTTTAAGTACTCGGTGCTATAGTTTTGCGGTAAAAAAAGGTATATTTCGGGTTCATGCTGTCGAAGTAATAACATTTCCGCTTTTTTTTTTTTTTACTTCAGAAAACTTAAGCTTAGATTTCTAGAAAGGAAGTAAAAGTCTGACGCATAACCCATAGGCAACTCTAAAACCTTGCTGTCTTGGGCCTTTACGCTCGTTTTCAGTAGACAGTAGATGACTTTTGAACGTCCGTAGACTTTTGGGACGTTCATTTGAACTCTGAGGCAGCCCTTGTTTCCGCATTGAGAAACGCAGCTATTTACCGTTTGTCCAAAACCTGGGCTTTGGTCCCCACGAAGGAGAAGGACTATACTTGTCCCGTCGTTCGGAATTCCTCTTGGAGAAGGGGCAGTTCCGCGTGTTTCTAGAAGGGGCTGCACCCCCTTTATGCGTACCTTTTCTGGGTGAGTCAAATACAAGTACTGTATAGGTTCGTAAAAGATGATGAACAGCCAATTAGATGCCGTCACTGGCTGACTGGAGGCGGATGAAACATTTTTATTTTTGCTCATCAATTCTTCATTGGTGTCTAATAAATGTTTCATCCGCTTATACTCAGCTACAGATGGAAACAAAAAGAAGACCTGATCATGGTCAATGTTCTCCATCACTGAAGTGAAGTTTAATGGATGAATATTGATTGTAGAGCATGCAAGTGCGCAGCTCCATTTGATCCATTAAACTTCACTTCAGTGGAGAACATTGACTGTGAGGTCTTATTCTTGTTTCCATATTCCATCTGTAGCTGAGCAGTAAGTGGATGAAACATTTATTAGACATCAATGAAGGATTTATGAGCAAAGAAAATTTGCATCCGCCTCTATACTGACGGCATTTGGCTGTTTATCATCTTTTATGAACCAACCCTTGTACAAAATAATATTCGAAAAGTGTACATGCAATGAAATACTTTTTTTCATTTCTAATGCAGCAGTAGAGTATATAGACAAGTGCTGGATATGTGTATGAAACGATGATGTTCATACAGTACTGTNATCTTTCCTTCATTTTCAGACTGCGTATTGGGTATCCGTTGAGATTTTGGAACGACAGAACCCGGAAATGCGAGCAAAAGTCATCTGTCATCTACTGAAAACTTGCAGGCATCTGAAAACCCTGCAAAATTTGAACTCTGAGGCAGCCCTTGTTTCCGCATTGAGAAACGCAGCTATTTACCGTTTGTACAAAACCTGGGCTTTGGTTCCCACGAAGGAGAAGGACTACTTGTCCCGTCGTTCGGAATTCCTCTTGGAGAAGGGGCAGTTCCGCGTATTTCTAGAAGGGGCTGCACCCCCTTGCGTACCTTTTCTGGGTGAGTCAAATACAAGTACTGTATAGGTTCGTAAAAGATGATGTACAGCCAAATGGAGGCGAATGAAACATTTTTATTGTTGCTCATCAATTCTTCATTGGTGTCTAATAAATGTTTCATCCACTTACTCAGCTACAGATGGAAACAAAAAGAAGACCTGATCATGGTCAATGTTCTCCATCACTGAAGTGAAGTTTAATGGATGAATATTGATTGTAGAGCATGCAAGTGCGCAGCTCCATTTGATCCATTAAACTTCACTTCAGTGGAGAACATTGACTGTGAGGTCTTATTCTTGTTTCCATATTCCATCTGTAGCTGAGCAGTAAGTGGATGAAACATTTATTAGACATCAGTGAAGGATTTATGAGCAAAGAAAATTTGCATCCGCCTCTATAGTGACGGCATTTGGCTGTTTATCATCTTTTATAAACCAACCCTTGTACAAAATAATATTCGAAAAGTACATGCAATGAAATACTTTTTTTCATTTCTGATGCAGCAGTAGAGTATATAGACAAGTGCTGGATATGTGTATGAAACGAGGATGTTCATACAGTACTGTTGTGTATATAGTAATTAATAGGAGTATACTACTCGCACTTTTATTTCCAAGACTTCTGATAGAAATGGGCATTTGCTCGTCAGCATTTACAATTTTACAAATGCATCAGGTATTCTTCTTGCAAATTTTTCAATGTTAAATTGAGCCTTGGTGATTTTCCTTTAAATGTTCTTCACATGTAGTTATTGAGGCGTTTTTACTAAAAAGAAATACAACGGTGACTTATGTTTGATCTGTATTTCACTGCGTGATGCTGTGCAATTGAAAACAAATTTGAATGTTTTTCTTCGTCATTCACGGGGATTCCTCCTAACCTTTCTCAAGTTCGAATCCTTAATGCTGAGTTGTGGACCTACGACCGGACTATATATATTCTGAATTTCAGAGCATTTTAGAAGTTTACGTGATGTTTTTAATTACGTTCATACCTAGATATATGGGTATAAAAATGAGTCATACCTGTAGACGTGAAAATTATTGGACAACATTATCAAAGAAGAAAGAACCGTATTACAACGGTACCCCGAGATACGGATCGACGCCCCGGCTGACATTTGTAATACAGTATTCGACTTAGGGACACTTTAAAATCAAAAGATCTGGCCCAACATATCTGGACCATGTCTTTAGGAATAAACGCACAAAATTTCCGGAAATATTGATTTTTTCAGTTGCAAAATATTGATGTACAGTATTTTGAACAAATTCAGCTATTTATATTCAGAAAAATAAAAATACGTTTTATTATATAATTTCGCCTTAATTCATAATACCAAAACAGGCTAATTCGTTCTATGTTCAGAGTTCCTTTAATCTAAACAGAGTACGTATACATAAATATAGACTTGCTGTGTTTGTGTTCTTTATTTTTCTGTTGATTATGTCTCTTCAAGTCGTTGAGAAAATTCCTTCAGATTTTTTGAGGATGACGTATACGGTTTCCTAATTTTTGATGAACATGAGAACCAATTGAATATGTTTCCATTTAAGTGTATATGAGAAAATATGACCCAACATGAGGATGTTCTGACAGGGAGAATTTCCAAGAACCAATGTATTATGTTCACATCTCGGGGCCCGACTGCTTTGTATATACTTGCTTATTCTCGTTGTGACGGAATCTCGCAACAAATAATTTGCGTATGCGTATTCACTCAGATTCATTTTTAAATTGACGATTCTCAGGTCCTTTCTTGACCGAACTGATCACTGTCGAAGAGGCCTACCGAGATGCGGACGGATCGAACTGTGCCAGCGTGGAGAGTAGGAAGCGAAAGATGGACGATGTTTTGCACGGTGTGCTGCGCTTCCAGACCTCGAATTATCAGAAGCTAAGAAGCGTAGAAGCCTTGCAGAGATACATCAATTCCCGGAAATACATCAACGCACTCTTCAAGTTCACCGAAGATGAGCTTTACAAGTGAGTCCTGCTGTATCAATCCAATCCAACCATCCCGACCGCGCGCAGCATTTCCGAGTTTCAAAAATGACTTTTTCCGTGTGAAAATAAGTAAGAGTTTGGAAATCTCGATGCTACGATTTTTGGTGAAATCTGACGAATTACAGGACCCTTGCCCAACATACAGCCCGATATATCTGGCCCGCATCATATAGAGACTTTTCTTTTGTCATCCAGCAGTCCCTTCAGGTACTATATATGTCTTGATCAAGGAGCTCAAAAGAAAGAAATGAAAACACAGGCAATCAGCCATTTGAGGCCAAAAACACATATTCAAGGGGTCACCTTGAATATATCTTCCTACCTGAGTGTGGGAATTGGTGCACACTGGGGATATGTCTGTAATTCTTCACATTGACCCTGCAGTGCACCTGAAGTGTATACCAAAATTATTCTTTTGCACATGTATATCCCTAATGTGCACCAATTGTGTGTTCACACCAGGATTACTCAGGGTCACATTTGTAAACAAATAAGTTACAGTTGGTGCATTTGTGTGATACTCTTGTTATGTCACATTTGTGCACCAAATGTATAGCCCTGGAATGGTAGCAAAATTTCATCCACAGAGGTGCATGGTTGTAACCCCAGAATAGCCCATGTACACTAGTTGTGACCCCAGTGAACATTCAAGATTTCACTCAAAGTTGGGTCACCAGCACAGTTGTGGGGTCACAGGAAGAATAGCTCTTCACTTAAGTAGTTTTTCAATATTGTTTACTAAACGTTTGCAGCAGTGTTGAATAAATGCAAGAATTCAAAAGAATAAAAACACAATCAATTCACACAATAGATTTGAATCACAAGATCAGATCACATACATGAAAATCACGGATTTGTGTGCAAATCAGGAAAAAGGAAGGAGAAGATTGTCCTACAAGAGTTCAGGACAGACTGTTTATAAATTTGGAAGGGATCATGGGATGGTAATCTCCTTTGGCTTAAGATTGTTGCATCACAGGGAAAATAAATATCCAAAAAAGTTGTGTTCAGAAAAGTGCCCCATTTGGGGAGAAAATGGAGGTACCTTTTTTTGAATTCTGCTAAATGAAGTACACGCACATTGCAGATTGACTCCACCATTACATTATTGCTTCTCTTCAGTATATACCCAAATCGGAATTTTGACATTTAAAAATTGTGCTTCTCCTTACAGACATCAGTAAGCCGTGTTTGTGAATCCATGCACAGAACAAAATTAAATTTTTAAATTAATATATAAAGTGGAACATTGGAAACCCTTATAGGAGATAAATTTGTCATGGACAAATGTCCCACAAATGGTAACCTTCTCTTACTTTTTTTCGAGCTCCTCTTCATATAAATGTTCACATGACATATTAGGCTGTAATGGATGAGTGTTTGCATTATTATTGCTTTATTTTTCCATAAGTTGTATGAGTTAGTGAAAATTACTATGTAATTTGACCCACATAGATTATATCTGCAATGTGGCCCTTGGTCAAGGAAATGTTTTGTGGCCCTTGCATATTGGCCTCATCTGCTGAGTTGCCCAAGTGGGGAAATTGGTGCACACTGGGGATGTGTTTGTAATTCTACAAAGTGACCCTGCTGTGCACCTGAAGTGTACCAAAGTTCTTCTGTTGCACATGCATATCCCTAATGTGCACCGATTGTGTGTTCACACCAGTATTACTCAGGGTCACATTTGTAAAGAAATGAGTTACACCAAGGTTACAGTTGGTGCATTTGTGTGATACTCCTGTTATGTCACATTTGTACACAAAATGTTGCCCTCTGGAATGGTAGCAAAATTTAATCTACAGAGGTGCATGGTTGTATAACCCCAGAATAGTCCATGATGTACACCAGTCGTGACCCCAGTGTGCACCAGTTGTGGGGTCACAGGAAGAATAGCTCCCCACTTGGGATGGGTATAGCACTGAATTTCAGTACTGTACTGCATTATTCTATCTCTGTTTCAGACGTTCCTTGACCTTGGAACCTCAAGAAAGCCCGTCGAGGAGACCAAGCAATTCTGAAAAGATCACGTTTTCCATTGGTTCGCCGACAAAGACTTTCAGTCGCACTAGAAGCGTTGCGTCTTTGATCATCCAGCAGACCTCGTCTCTGGTGGCAGGCAACGTCGCGATGCTGGGGAATCTCGAAAACTTAGTCTGCGGGAAAGAAGGAAAGTTTCCTTTCAGCCATCGAAAAGCGCGGAGTCTTGAAACCAGGTAAGTTCCCATATTTAACCCTTGAATGGCAGAGGGTTCTTTCTCAGTGTGCGGCAGAGTCGGGATTTTTCCGGGGGGTGGTGCATTTCAGTTTGACCTAAGGTTACTGAAATACGCCCAGGTTGAGGAGGACTAAGTTGGGAAACATCTGGGAGATGAATTTCCTATTGTTTCCAAGATTTTCCCATGCAAATCCTATGCCAGGAATGCAGGAAAAAACGCCACCAGCCAGGGATTTTTCTAAATTTTCATTGAAAATTTTCTGCAGGATTAGAAAAAAATCTTGGACTTTTTTCCAACTTAGCCCTTGGTAAAAAAAAGTAGGTTTTTTTTTTTTTTATTCCCAGTGCCCAGTGGCACAACATTTTGCAAAAATATCCTGACTTTGCCACACAAGGGATAAGAGGGTTGGTTCACAAGTTTTGAGACTTTTTACGTCAGATCCATGCAACGGAGTTTCAACAGTTGCAGAACGATGGACTCTTGGTAACGTATACTATTTTGATCGTTGGATTCATCGCATGAAAATATGCGTTGAACTCTGCGGAACGTATGTTGAACTGCATTGAAGTGTAGCCAAATTATATGGCTTATATGCGAGGGCATTTTTTTTCAATTGTTGAAATTACATTGGATCTATTTCAAAAAGTCTCAAAACTCATGAACTAACCCTTGTATGCATAATCCATCAGTGAAAACCTGAATGTTAACTTTCGAAAATGTGACTGTCGGCCCCTCTGAGTAGGCTTATAATACTCTATTCGAAATGCTATTAAAAAAAAAATTTGACAGACTGCCCGCAAGAATAGTTTTCTCGTGATATCAGCTTGTAAAAAGCTTCAATAGGATATTGAAATTATTTACAGTACTGTACTGTACTTCTATCTGGAATATTTCAAGCATTGAAAAAAATACCGGGCTTTGAGAAATAAATTCCTAAAAGATGTTCTTTTATAAAAACCAAGGCCCTCATCCTTTTTATTGCCCTCGAGTGTGTATATCCCACAGCAGGTTCTCAAAGGATTCGGTCGATTCGTCATTAGTGCGTAGATGGACGAAATACAGACGATACAATGCGAATTACAATAATGTAAGTACCCTTTCTGCAGAACCAACATTGCTGAAGACGGATACAAAAGATCAGCAGAGATGAGCGATAAACCACGGTCTGTCTCCACGTGTATTACTCCCATCTGTCTAATGGGAGATGTGACACGGAGTAGTTTAAGTGCCGAGTCTGCTCATGACCAGTACGATTTGAACGGGGAACAAGGAAACCCTGCACAAATGGGCTCTCATCAGCGGGCCCTAGGTTCCGTCAGTAGCTCTGTGTCATCAATGATGCTGTGAGTCAATCAACCCTTCCTTCAGTAAATGACAGAACAGGAGTATGATTGAAAGTTTATGTTATAAGGCGCAGTATTATTGTATTCAAATTGTTAATCAGATATGCCAAATTGTTCAAACTTTCCTTGAACCCCTGTGGGTTCTGCACACATACCTGCTCATTATTGCAGGATGGCTGCACAAGCATTTACAATGTTTCTCTCATAAATATACGCCATCATTCCATAAACTTGTCCCCGGCAATGAAACGCCAATAGTAGAATAATAAGTAAGCTCTGAAAACACTGTTGCTGAGGTTCTTTGTCCTTTTCGTCTTGTCCCAAATTGCTTATTTGGAATTCCTACCCCATATCATTTCAATGACCTCAGTTTGGTCCCCCCAAAGTTGATAAAAGGCCCCAAATACTCTCCCAATCTTTTTTGGTGAAAGATCCGTCAGTTAAGGAGCTGAGTACATTGTAGGAAATACGCAAAGCGTTTATGTCGTTGAATAAAGTACAAGTCTGGTAAAATATTGTGCATTTTGACTTGTTTCACGACGACATCTTCATTTGCTGCTGGCGTTCTGGATTAGTGAAGTTTCTTCCCTGTGGGAAGAAAACCTTTATGCATATGTATAGAGAAAAATCGTTGAAGACAAGATTGTGTTGGAGAAAGTCCACTTACATGAGATGCCATCTGCAGAAGGCGAAAATGTTCCTTTGCATTCTAGCCATTTGTTTTGTTTTTTGACGAACTTTGTTTCAACGTTTTTTTTTTCTTCTCCTGCTCAATTAAAACATGTCTTTCGCCGTCTGTTTTGCTTTGGCTGAATCTCGAACTTGAAGATGATACATTTTGTTTGAGCAGCAGTCTGACTAATCCAATCTTCATCAACTATTTTGTCTCACAAATTAATTGCTCAGAATAAGTATAGCCGCGTTAGATTTAAACCTTTTACCGGGATATCTCTGTGCGTAATTCCGGTCATTCACATGCAATGAATAATCGATTTAAAGCATATAGTTCTTTGAGTTACGCAATGGTTATTTGTTGGGTAAATGACCCTTTATTACTGAATAAGCTGCTCTGTGTGTTCAATTTCCTGCTTTCACCTCACAACTTTCCCTGTCGTGTCTGGTTGAACATTGAAGATATCCCGGCTCTCACGGATCCTGGTACGGATCGGTTGTGCGGAGAAGAGCCTTGAAAAAGAATCACAGGAAGGTTCGATGGGCGAAGCAGAAGGACTATTGGATGGAACTTCACGGCTGTCGTCTGTTCATGTTCTCTCATAGACTTTTAGGGGATAAGTGAGTACTGTCATTTTGAATAAAGTATAATGGATATATTGTATACATATAACATATTTGTTGTTCTAATGGCTCTGATATTTTTATAATTGTTCTCATTATTGCTTCAGCTGTTATGGTTGTTGTAATTGTTCTATAGTTTTTTCAGTTGATCTAGTTGTTTAATTTGTTCTAATTCTACTACAGTAGTTGTTCTAATTCTAATAGTTGTTCCAATTCTTCTAATTGTTCTAATTGTTATAACTGTTATAGTTGTTCTAGTTTTTCTAATTGTTCTAATTGATCTAATTGATCTAATTGTTCTAATTTATCTAATTGTTCTAAATTTTTTAATAGTTCTAATAGTTATAATTCTTCTGGTTGTTCTAGTTATTGTAGTTGGTCTAATTGTTCTTAGCTGTTCTGATTGTTCTTAGTTGATCTGATTGTTCTTAGTAGTTCTGATTGTTCTTGGTTGTTCTGATTTTTCTAATTATTATAATTTTTCTAGTTGTTCTAATTGTTCTACATATTTCTTCTGATTGTTCTAGGTGTTCTATTTGTTCCGATTGTTTTAGTTCTTTTGTTTGTTTTCGTTGTTCTAGCAGTTATATCTGTTCAAATTGTTCAATAGCTGTTCTTGTTGTTCTTGCTGTTCTTATTGTTCTTGCTGTTCTTATTGTTTGTGTTGTTCTAATTGTTCTAGTTGTTCTAGCTGTTCTTATTTTATGTGGTTCTAATTCTCCTATTTGTTATACTGTAGCCTTTAATTACTTGGGCTGTTCCTGAAATATACAGGAAAACTCTTCAATTGTGCGGAATTTTCCCGCCGACTTTGACAACAGTCATGAAAATCCCTGAAAAGGGTAACAGGGAAACGAGTTTCTCGAAACTCAATCGGCGCGTCTCGGGACGCGTCTCAAAATACTGCAAAATAATCCCCCTGACGGGGCGGCAAGTCAAAACTAATTGTAAACCCTCGAAAAACAATTCCTTTCTCCAGCAATCGACCCCTCTTTTTCTTTTCTTTCTCTTATTATTTAGAAAGGAGGTCATATGACCCCCATTTGTCTCCTTGGGGTTAAAGAGGGTCCAAACTTTGCCAGCTGCTGGCCGCTACCCTCTGGTTTCCTCTTTCTTATTTTTTCTTTTGGCTCCCAAGAACCATTTGCCGTTTGAGGAACGCGACACGCCTGACTTCAAGATGTTTTTCAAAAAGACAGCCCTAGAGTAATTTATACTTGTCGTCGAAATCTGCGCAGCCTTGTAAAATAATTGTCTTTGGAAACTGCGCAGCCTTGTAAAAATTTACAAGCTAAAAACACCCGGTTCTCGGGGAGAAAAATATATTTTTCCGAATTGCCTACCAATAGCCAGATGTTGTAAAAACACCAACACCTGGTATTTTTTGAGGAAACCCAGCAACTGGTATTTTTTGAGGAAACCCAGCAACTGGGGAAGATACTCAGGTCCAAGAACATATTTACAAAATTATATAAGACCCTCAACTCTCTGTGAAACACACAGTCCAAATTTTGCCGTCGAAGCGTTTCATTGCGTCGTGAATCTCGTACTTTGCCAGAAAACTTAAACCTGCAAAAAACCTGTTGTGCATATTTGCGGTCCAAAAAACTGTTGTGAATATTTTTGTACTTTTGTGTTCTTGCTTGCTGATTTGTCTAACAAAGGCTTGAGCTTTTTGGGAGAGAATCCCTGGTTGGTTTGCGCACCGGCCAATTGCTGTGTTGAATTCATTTTTTCTCATTCTTTACTTATCATTAGAGAATCATCCTTTAATTACTGACTTATAAGTACTAAATCGATTGTTCGCTCCAGCAGTTTATTTGCTGAGTAGGGTCTAGCATGGAAAGTCTGCCTCAAATATCTTCATGAGCTGTTGGCATAGCTGAATCATTACGAGCGCATTTTTTTGCAGAACTATTCAATTCCAATGTTTCGTTTATATAGAGTATTACCGTAAATGCTTGTCGTATACGTATCGGTCATTATATATTCAAATGTGCTGTCTCATCGACGAGTCTTCTCGAGATCAATGCATTTTATTATATTTTCTTGAACACATGTGTGTCATATTAGGTGAAATGTTGAATTATGTCCTTTGCCGTTCAGGCAGTATAATGTCCATCGTCTGCAGTCGATTCTTTTAACGTGAATCTCAAAGCGTATAGGAAATGATCAGCAGGATTTTTTTGGCATTCATTGATGGTTTTGCTCGTGTGATGAATCAAAATTCCGGTTGGAATTTTGTAGCATCGAAGTGTGAAACAGTTCTGTGACTTTTTTTTTCAATCGGTCCGGCGTGCACGTGTATATTTCCGTGGGCCAATTTGCCGCATGGGACTGCTGAACCCTCTGATTGTAATTGGCTGTGATTCCCTGGTTTTTGCGCTGTTCGGGAAGTTTGAAGCTTTTTGAGGAGCTCGTGGGCAAATAAAGAGTTAATCTACGAATATTTGCAGAAGTTTTGATTTGGATATAAAATGCAGCCAAAAAATGGAGGACGATTTCGAAGTGATTTCCTGATTGGTATGCGTTATTGGATAACTACTATGAATACGGAAGAAATGACCGTATAGTGTGTGAAGTTCATCTTATTTTCTCTTCGTCCGAGAATTTCGTGACTCCTAGTGCGCTACTTCATGCCAAATTGGTTTTTCTTCTGTTCATATAGACCATTTCCTCACGATTTTCACCTTTCTGTTTTAAACAATACAGTTGAACCTATTATAGAAAAGTTGAACATCCCAATATGAGTGAAAAACCCCCTTATTCAAAAATCCAGCTAATCCCTGTTCAAATCTTACAAGTCCAATGCCATTTGAACTTTTCAATAAACTTTTTATTTTCAAGTGAAGACATTTGGAGATGTGTCATATTTATTATTGCTACACATGGGTCATGGCATACTAGAGGGGCCCTGTCCATGGGGAGCTATTCTTCCTGTGACCCCACAACTGGTGCACACTGATGTGGTCACAAGTGGTGTGCATATGGGCTATTTTGGGGTTATATACAAGCATGCACCTCCATAGATGAAATGTTGCTACCATTCCAGGGCTACATCTGGTGCACAAATGTGACATAACAGGAGTATCACACAAATGCACCAACTGTGACCTTGGTGTAACTTATTTGTTTACAAATGTGACCATGAGTAATCCTGGTGTGAAAACACAATTGGTGCACATTAGGGATATACATGTGCAAAAGAAGAATTTTGGTATACACTCCAGGTGCACAGCAGGGTCACTGTGTAGAATTACAGACATATCCTCAGTGATGTGCACCAATTTCCCCACTCACGGACAAAAACAGCAGCAGCATAGTAATGACATAATTTGACATAATGGTATAACAAAACTGGACTCATATGGACAGTGAAAAATTTGCTGCATCTTCAATTTCTTAGTAGGTGATGCCCAACTGGGCACTACACTCAGACCTTACAGATTTGACGTTCAAATCTGAAAATTGCAAACTGCCCTTGAGCCAAGTCCCATTATCTTATAATTAAAGTTTCTGCCCCCTTTACTTGCTCTTCATATGCACATGTTTGCTGCAATAAGTGAAAAACTTGAAAATGCGTCTATATATGCTGGGCTGACCCTGAATGGGTCAGATCAAGGGGGTGCTATTGATGCTGCAGCATTAGGCCCACTAGGCAAATAGGCCCCTTAAGAATTTGAAATTTTTTCATTCCCCAGCTTGGGGAATTTCAAATTTAAAATTCCCAAGCTAGGGAACTAAAACTTTTTAAAATTATGAAAATTCAGAAAAGCAGAAAAGACACAAAAGTGTTCATGATTGAAAAAATCAGGAAACAATAAATAAATTCCAACACACTGCACATATAAAAATCTTTGAAGAGGAAACCAGATCAAGGACATAAAAATCAGTTCAGAGCACACAATCATTCCTGCATTATAGAAGGAAATCAAGATAAATGGCCAGAAACAGGAAGATACATGGCCAAGGAATCATGGGCAGGAGAAAATTCAAACAAAGATTTCAATTCCACTCATGCCACCCATGGCAGGATAAAATTTTCACTCCTGTCCCCACTTCAAAAGCATTTGGTGTCCTCAAAAATTTTCTGAAGTGATTTCTCGCTGGTGTTTCAAAAATCATGCTTTTTATTTCTGAAACATCAGTAATTTATTAACACTTGCGATGTAAAAAAATGAATTTTTTAAACCCTGCATTCCCTGCTATGACTCATTAGACCAACAACCCCCCCCCCTCTTATAAGACATTGTTGCTCAGGGTTCTGTAAATCCAAGTGTCCCTATTTTGCAGGGGAGATGTTTTTTTTTACCACTGAACACCCCTACCCCTAAAAAAAAACTTTTCTACCTTGCATCCTGGGAAAAAGGCTGATCTAACCCTCCCCCTTTGCAATTTTATACTGTACACTGAGCCATGGGGATCTTTGTCTGATCCATATTTTCTACCATGACTTCCAATAGCAGGAGTCTGGCGATCCACAGCTTTGATATGCATTTTCTAGTTTGTCCATAGCTCTATATATAGTTTATATGAAAATGTTGGAGGCAATCAAGAGATTTCCAAGTTTCTGAATAGTATTTTTCTTGACTTTTTGTGGAGCCTTTCATTGTATTCTGAGGTGAACACAAACTGTTTAATAATGTCACCAAGAAACTTCAAAAGATTTCTGAATCTTTCTCAAAATTTTGGGCAGGACCAGAATAAAATATTTAACTTTTCATTCACTCTAGGGTTCCTTCAGAAAAGCAAATTTTTTATTTAAATAAATAATAAAAGCTTTGTAACCTGATGGCCCAGCAAGGAAATTTTAAATTCAAAATTCCATGCATCACAAACATTTGGGATGCATGCAGAAATTCACATTGCATACATCCCAAACATTTGGGACTCATGCACAGATTCACACTGCATGCATCCCAAATGTTTGGGATGTATGCAGAAATTTACATGGCATGTATCCCAAACATTTGAGATGCATGCAATGTGAATTTCTGCATG